TCCTAAGAAGAAAGTAAACCTACAGACATCGGTCTTGTTTAACAAAATCTGAAAAGTATGAATAAACATTCAAGTTGTTTCAAAGTAGTTCCCCAACATGCAAAAGGTAAAATACCCTGGTGTTGATTCTACTCATATTTTGGATTTGGATGTGTACAGCACACACACACACACCAACACATACATCATCTACCAATAGAATGCTTTGTTTGCCATTTTCTAAGAGCTATTTTATTTGCCTTCTGTTCAGAGAAATGCTGGTTTCTGTTGAGAAGTTAGATTTAATAAAACTCACAATATACTTCTGACAGCATACTACTAGATGTACTTTCACAGGGTCCCCAAAAGTGTTCTGTTTCAAGAGTAAATAAAACCAAAATTAAAAGCAACAAAATTTTTTTATTTCTTGCTTTTAAAGTTCACATGTCATGATTCGTTGTAGCCTACAGAGTGTACAATTCTTCTTGTGTTTCATGGCATACACACATTTTACTGATGTTAGGACAGTACAAATTTCAACATTAAGCTTCCCTTATAAGATGTCATTTTAGTGTCTACTGACTGGCTGACAGAAAACACGATACTGTATAGTGATGCAAATGGTTAAAACAGGTGACCCTTCCACATGGCCTTTGACTTGTTTAAAGATATTTCTAGTAGTTATAAAAAGAAGTTTGAAACAAGATTCAAATTTAAAGCTCATAACACAAACAATTCATGTCGTTTCTTTATTATAAAATAGAACTTCAAAAAGAGCTTTCTCTGTATAAAAGTTATTATGCAGCAGTATATATATATATATATATATACACATAATTTAAGGGCAACAAGGGATCATTTTTTCCCAAACTTATATTGTCCATTCCTCTCACCATTATGTATGAAAATGACGATGCAATTCCCCTAACAATCTTAAACACCTCATTCAGATCCCCCCCCTAACTTTTTATCAACACAAAACAATTTCAGAGAGTTTAATCTATCTTTGCATATCAACAGTGTATGCTTATTAAGCCTACTACATGTACGCAGCATCACTGATGGAAGAGCAACATTAATATTTAGCCTCATCTTAAAAGAAGCGACAGTAAAAAAAAAAATATTAAAAATGTCTGGAAAGATCACACGTTTAGAGAAACCTGAAAACTTAAGTGCTTTTAAAAAATGGGCCATCAAAAACCACAAGTAAAATGGTAATTAAAAAAATTACCTTTTGGTACACAAGTTTCTAATTGGAACTACTTCCCTATTTAGCATCTTGCCAACCATTTATGTAAAGGTTTAGTGAAGGTCTGAAATTTATTTACTGATTGGATTCACTGTTCATCCCTGAACAAACACATGTAAATTAATACAAACTTTTGAAACCTCAATGGAAAATTGCACACTGTAGATTTTCTTCCATCCTAAAATATATGTTTCTTACAAGTTTTTGTTTTGATAAGAAACTATATACAGTTAATTTACAATACATTATTTTGCAACCTGACAGGTAACATTACACCAAGTGCTTTTCATTTCAATAAGAGCGAGCAATTTTACATGGTTGGTGACCATGAGATGTCTCCTGTTTATGAAGGGAATGTTGTGTACACATAAAAGCTGCACACAAAAACACTTCTGTTGTCTCAAACGAATTACACATTAATGTAGAGTTAAACAGTTTGCATTTAATACTTACCATGCTCTACTTTTTATCAACTCAGCAGAAATAAAGAATACACATACACCAAAAGATATACTAGTTACAAAAAACACAGCATTCAGTATACATGTACCACCATGATTTAAATGTTAATTTCTGTTGTTTTCTATGATGTACTATTGCCACCATGATTTAAACGTTAATAATTTCTGTTGTTTTTCTATGGTGTATTATTGCCACCATGATTTAATGTTAATAATTTCTGTTGTTTTCTATGATGTATTATTGCCACCATGATTTAAATGTTAATAATTTCTGTTGTTTTCTATGATGTATTATTGTCACCATGATTTAAATGTTAATAATTTCTGTTGTTTTCTATGATGTATTATTGCCACCATGATTTA